TTATTTTTGAAAAAATAGAAAATAAACGTTGTCTAATTTGTCATAAAATCGTCTAAGATTTCATAAACGTGCTAAAATCGATTATAATTTTCAAAATCGATTTTTTATAAATTAGAAAATAAAGTGGATTAACAGTGTAGAGCTTTGCATAGATTGTCACAGATTCGGATAGAGCTCAAAATTTGGAGTCGGAATGGGTTAATTAGAATATATAAAAGGAGATTTATGAAGATCGAATACGTGAAAAATCGTTTTTGTCTCGTCCAAAACCAATGAATTTTGAAACACGTATATACGACGTAACTTTCGCATTCTTTGGTCAAACTTCAATAAAAATATGGTATCCGTGATCAGCGCATCGAGATCTATCGAACTACATATGAAACAAAGAAAAATAAAGCAAAACAATTTTCCGGATACCTGAGGGGGGGGTCCAGGGTGAGAAAATCGAATTCTCGTAATTCGAACTTTTAAAGGTAGAAAAAGCATCAGGAGTAAGCCCTAATTACCGCCCAAGTGGGATTTTGGCGAAAAATATTGAGACAAAATATAGACAAACCGCCACATCTCCTTTAAAATCTAATAATGTGGTTAATTTGTATTGATATTGTACGTTTATATATTTAGGAATATAAAGAAGATGTCGAATACTTATAAACAATCTCCGTACGATCCTGAAATAATTCAGGCATTCCTAGAATTATATCCTGCAGGACTTGCTACTTCTTATACATCTGAAAGTTTACCTCTGATGCGGGAGAAATCGTCTCTGATGAATGCAACTGATGATCAATTGAGTCAAGAAGGAAAAATTGACATTGAAGAGCGTAAAGTACCTGGTCCTGAAGGCGCGGCTGAAATCTCGCTTCTGATATGCCGACCAAGTGCTTCTTTGCCAAGTATATCCAATCCGATGTTACCCTGTATTTACTACGCGCATGGCGGTGGGATGATTTTAGGAAGTAATCGTTTTGGTCTTCAATTTTTACTTGATTGGATTGTGGAAATGAAAATTGTCGTTGTATCAGTTGAATATCGTCTTGCACCTGAACATCCTCATCCTGCACCTTCGGAAGACTGCTATGCCGGTTTACTATGGACTGTTGCACACGCAGAAGAACTTGGTATCGATCTGTCGCAAGTTAGTGTAGCGGGTACGTCAGCAGGAGGTGGCCTTGCTGCTGCTATGGCATTAATGGCACGAGATCGGGGTGGACCCAAATTACAAGGTCAGTTGCTCGTCTGCCCCATGCTTGATGATCGGGATCAAACATTTTCGACTTTCCAATACGAGAAAATGGGTAGGTGGGATCGTCAGGCGAATCTATTTGGTTGGAAGGCTCTGCTTGGTGATACACGTGGCACTCAAGATGTATCTTCATACGCTGCTCCGTCGAGAGCCAAAGATCTTAGTAATTTGCCTCCAGCTTTTATCGATGTTAGTTCAACAGAGATTTTCCGCGATGAAGACATCGATTATGCTCAACGTATCTGGCAGGCCGGTGGCGTTGCCGAACTTCATGTATGGCCCGGAGGTCTTCATGGCTTTACTAGGCTAGGAGAGAAGACTGCATTATCAAAAAATGCTCTCCAAGCAAGTACTAATTGGTATCGTCGACTTTTGGCTTCACATGGAAAATAATTTTTTTTTCTATTAAAACATTTCCCTCGCATTTTTTCTATCAGACTAGAAATAACTTAACTTATATAATCAATAGAGATATGAAATAAAGGAAGATTTAGAAAGTCTTCATTCGATCTCTATATTCAAATGTTTTTATCCTGATAGTGTGTTATAATCTGTATGATAATTCTCTGACTTTGTCTTCTATAATATGCATTTGATGAAACAAACAACAAAAGATTCTTTTATTATAATAAAATGAAAAGTTTGATTAATTTCTAAACTGCACAATATTTAATCTTTATATCAATAAATCATAGTTAAATGTAAAAGTATTGTTATTTAATACAGTCTTATAGAGTCTTAGTGCATCGTTGATAAACAGACTGTATTAATTGTTTTAGTATCTGTCTAAACTATCGACTTGTCATTGTATAAATATAAAATGCAAATATTTTATACTTATAGTAATTCAAAATAATCATATTGAAAATAAGATTTTCTATCGAATGGCGTACATTCGTCTTGCTGATGGACAGTAAGATTTGAATACAGTGTGAATGCTCCATACTGTAATGTGCATAAGATAAGTAAAGTAACTTATATGAATAACATTGGTAGAATATGTTGATTGAGAGCAATTGCGCTGTGCACAAGTAGCGATGTCAACAGACTGTATCCAGTCTGAATCTGCCAGAAGCGTCAATAGCGAGTTTACCAAATCACCTTCGTTGTGATTTAGTTGGTTTATGAAAGTTCATATGTTGTCAAAAGTCGACGAAAACTTGCAAAAAATCAAGGTTTTTCGAAGTACTCACTGAATCTGTCTAGGAAGAGAATCCGGCTGCATTTCTTGAAGTTAGTTTTAATAATTCTACGCCTTTATCGTTTGCCATAGTGACTAACAAACACTGTAGTTCTCCAAAAGGCGTACATCAGCACAAGGCAAACTCAGCTTTGTTAGGAATGCCTCTTGCTTATTAGCCAGGTAGTGAATGATGAAATATGTTGTTATTTTGCGTTATCATGCCATACATTTTTCGATGTAGGATACAAGAATGAATTTATGACGAGAAAATACATCTCAAGTTTTGCTTATCTGCTATTATGACGTATTTTTTCGAAAACTATACAAGAGAATTATTTAAGAAAACAATAAAACTTATGGAGATATATATACGCGTTGTTAAAAATAAAGTTTTGAGAATAAAATAAATATGCACTTTAATCTTTTCCTTTGTGCCAACAAACACTGTGATAGTGTTTTATTGAAGCAGAATTATTAGGTGCATTGTGTATTGTACGCAATATCATAATAACTATTCCTACAAGATATTTTCATGGGCACTGACTACTTTATGTGGTCAATAAAAGTTATAGTTTTTAGAGTACCGGAGTCCCAAAAACGTTCGTTTGAAAAACGCTGTATATTTG